GTCCCCGCCCTAATTCCCCTTCCTCCCTCCCAGCCATGCGAAAAGGGCTGCCCGAGCGCGACCGGCCTCACAGTTGCCGGGCAGCCCCCAGACCCTCGTGCCCCCGGCCGGCGCTTCCCCAGCACAGCTGGAGCCCGGGAGGGAAAGCGCCCAGCCGGGGGTGCAGGGTCTGGAGGCTGCCCGGCAAACCGTGAAGCCGGTAGCGCTCGGGCTTCGGGCAGCCCCCATGCCTCTGGACCCTGCGCCCCCGGAGCCTGGGAGGGGAAGTGCCCGGCCAGCGGCTCAGGGTCCGGAGGCATGGGGGCTGCCTGAATCCGGTAGCACTCGGGCAGCTTGGCTTTAAACAGAGCCGAAGAGTCAGGGGAGGAGTACAGCAGCCACGGGAGGGGAAGTGCCCGGCCGGTATTTTTCCCAGACATGTTCGGCTTTTTGGCAATTCCCCCCGGACAGGGGTTTGATTTCCAAAAAGCCAGACATGTCCGGGAAAAAACAGACGTATGGTAACCCTAGGCAGGGGGGAACCATCCCCCAGCACTCACCAGCGGCGTGGCTGGGGCTGGGTCGCTGCACTTCCCGCTGCCAGTGAGTGCAGGCCTGGCCCTGCTGCAGTCCTCAGGGAAGTGGGGGTGGGGCGGGGGCGGAGTGGGGCAGGTGCTTTGGGGAAGGGGTAGAGTGCAGGCGAGGCTGGGGCAGAGCAGGTGCAGGAAGAGGCGGGGCTGGGGTGGAGCAAGGGTGGGGGCTTTGAAGAAGGGGTGAAGTGGGGGCGGAGCAGGGATGGGAAGAGACGGGGCTGGGGCAGCACGCAGCTGCTCAGGGCATCAGGAAATTTGGTGCCTCCCATTTCCTGGTGCCCTACACAGCTGCATACTTTGTGTATGGGTAGGGACGACCCTGCCTCTCAGGCTAGCCATAAAACTACACAAGGCTTAGGCCGTTTGTAAGCATCTTTTATCTGGTTTCAACGGGGGCGGGGGAGAGGGGAAAGAGCCCTTTTCTGGGAGACATTCTACTTATATCAGGTCTCACCTTTCTCTTCTAGTGATCCCTGAATTCCATCCTGCTAGACTACTAGTATATTTTGCAAAGTCAGTATAGCAATTGATGTACCTGGGATGGAGCTGTCTTACATCTGAATAACCTCTGTTTTACATCTGAATGACAATAACCACTGCAACCTCAGTGCAATTCACTTGTTTAAACATAGTTGGTAGAGGCTGAAGTGGCTGCTAGGAACTAGTGTCACTCAGTATTAGGCATCATGGCACTGTGATTCCTAGCAGTCACTTCAGTTGCTTCAAAACACTATTAGCTCACCAGAGAGTGAGGGTCCTTTAGGTCTACGTAGAAGTTAGCAGAGGAGGTGAGACCATAAGTCCCCAAATCCCTAGAGATTTTATTTTCATATTTTGTTCTTTCTCTGTGGCTCAGTTAATGTTCTTCACTCTAGTCTGGTAGATAGAGGAGTAGCTAGACTCAGATTGAACTCTTGGGGCTTCGGCCATCCCAATATTTGGCAGAGGAGGGAGTAGCCAAATGTATTCCAATATTTGGAGCTTCCCACATTTTGGAAATGAGTTCCACCTCTTGCTTTGTATTAAGCTGTATTCATTGTATTGTATGACATGACGTATCCCCCTGGCTTCAGAGAGCCAAAGTCTGGTTCCTGCACAAGCCCAATTAAATGGGTGGTGCACAAGGACATTATGCAGGGTTCTGACCTAAACTCTCCTCCCTAACTCAGAGACAAAGCATGGAGCTACAGAGCCCCAGTGCAGGGGATCAGACCCGTGTATCTGGGAATAGTGGATGTACACCATGCTCCCGACCTTCTGATCCTTGCTCTGCAAGTCTGCTGCAAAGTCCATTGAACCATGTTTTTAATGCCTGGGGGGCCCCAGTGGAACCTCTCCATACTCAGCACCTCTGCACAAAGTGGAACCTCACTGGTTATGCTTTATTCACAGCACTCTTCTGCTATGACGTCGCTGGAGTACTTGGCCCAGAGAACATACACACAGCACAGAGAAACAAAAATTGCTCTCATCAGGAGAGACACTGAAGGATATCACTGCTAATTAAATGCCAATCTGAGCTAGCCAAACTCTCTAATATCCATCTTTGCAAGTCCTGGTGAATTTGTAACAAACCCTCTTCTGCCTTTCCCATTGTATTAATTTAGATGGTGTACAGAGGCCCCAAAAGTTAAACATATTAACAAGACACTGTCACTGTCAGTAAACAGCAAGGCTCAGGGTTTGGTATACAGAGACCTCAGTCAGCTCGGTACCACTGCCATCGCACCATTAAAAATCCTTTAACCTTTTATTAAAAGATACAGAAAAAGGAAAAACAGTTCAAGAATTTGGAATGTAAAGTATTAAATAAGGCTTTCATTTTAATAACATTCCTTGCTCCCTTTCCTTTTGGAGAGAGGTTTTAGAGTGTAATACTCCCTTGTTTGACAATCTTTTAGATGGTATTAATAGCTGTCCTTTTTGAGGAAAGGAGAAGGCGTTAGTTGAGATGGGCTGGAGCTGTTTAAGTTTGATCCAGTTTCTTAAGAAGACAAAACAAGAGAAACACTACAGGGAATAGAAAAGAACAGCAAAGAGAGAAAATGCAGTTTCGGTCTCTGATATTGATGCTCATGTGCAACCCCTCTGCTGGAAAAACACAGACCCAGCACACAATCTATCAGCCACTGGCACACTTGTACCAGCATTGGGCTGTTTAGGCCATTGCTTTTAGCTGCCTCTTTCTGGTCACAGGCTCGCAGCAATGTTGCAAAATATACAGTAGTAGCTCACTAAGCCAGGTTCTTATCAGACAAAAGGAAAAAGGAGAGAGACAGGAAAGAGAAGAAATAAGATAGGGAAGGAAAAGTGATGGTGTGGGGGGTGGAAGGATAGAAAGTCTCTTATCCAGGGTGGTGGCTAAGATTTATCCAGAGCTGGCAGAAGTAGCAATGTCATCTGGGTCTCTGGGGCCCAGTCTGATTAGGACATCTCTCACGATCAGCAAGACAAAGGCGTGGGGTCCCAGAAGATGGTAGGGATGACAGCAATGATGGCGAAGCTCGCTCCAGTAGCCAAATCCCCCCTCCCCCCCCAGCTTCTCTTCCCCCACTCTTTTAAAAAAAATAATAAATAATCCAAGCCCCAAAAGGGAGCAAGTGGTGGAATAACCCATTCCCTCATTATTTTGTCCACCAATTAGGACTAACTTCTGGCACACCAATTTTGATTAATTGATTTCCCGTTCTGCACTATTCTTGTTTGCCAGGCACAATCTTAACACAGTCCTTGAGTTATAGCAAGATCTTTTTGTTTGGACTAATTCAGTCTGCCTCTCTTTTTTTTATACCTTTTCCTATTACCATTTGTTTTAGGCTATTGTGACATTTTATGAACTTTCACTCACCTTTTACAGTTGAGCTCACAATTAGGTGAATTTGTAGGCCCAATTATCACAACATTCCTGACGTTAACTGATTTTCAATTAAAATTCAAATATTTGTCAATCCCATTAACATAACAATTGGGCTTTGGGTGTAGTACAAATTCACAAATTGCTATCTATTTGCAAAACCACAGTATAATTTGGTCCTGCTGATAGGCTCTTACAGGCATTTCATCTTAGTATTAAGAAAATAAGAAAGATAAGTTAACAATCATACAGTTAAGCACTTACTTGAAGACAGCAATCAGCAGATTTACCAGTAGAATGTTTGCTACCAGAAGGTAACAAGCCATGATAGCAGGTGTGAGCCAGGCCCCAGGTATGCATGGAGGGAGACGTTTACCATCCTCATCATAAAGATTATCCCCACAAGGAGCTGAAGAGACAATTGAAGGTTTACTTTTCAGTGCTTGTCTGACATTGAAAACACTGATCATATTTATGTAAAGATTAGATCTGCATAAAATTTGCTAGGACAAATATCCATATTAAGAGTTTATTTCTAGTAGAATCAAATGGAGTTTTTGGGCCAAATTCAGCTGCCAGTTACACCATGTAAATGCAAAATAATCTCCCCTCAGAATGAATAGTTATTCCAAATTTGTGGTGATGTAACTGAGATTAGAATTTAGCCCTTAGGACATTTAGATTTTTTTCCCCAATAGCAAAACTGGAACTAGGTAGAGATCTCATAACTCTAAGCACATATAAACCTTTTAATACCAGAATAAAAAAGAACCACTTAAAAGTGGAGAATGAAGCCCATATGGGGAAATCTGAAGTTGCTGCAGGGCGCGGAAACTAGGGCTATGTACACACTACATACAACCTAAGTCGGTATAAGTTACGTCACTCAGGGGTGTGAATAAATCATCCCCCTGAGCGATGTACGTGACACCGACCTAAGCGCTGGTGCAGACAGTGCTATGTCGGCAGGAGAGCTTCTCCAGCCAACGTAGCTACTGCTGCCGCAGGGGCTGAAGTAATTAAGTCGACAGGGAGAGCTCTCTTCTGTCGGCTTAGAGCATCTGCATTAGCAGCGCTACCGTGGTGCAGCTGTAGTGCTGCAAGATCTATAGTGTAGCCATAGCCTAGATAGTTAAGCTTCCTCCCTCCCCAAACTCACAGTTAGACTGTAAGTTCTTTGTCAATGGCAAAACTCCTATTGCGTTCAATGATGCAGGATCAGAAGTATTCATCAGTGAGATTTAAAACTATACAAGGACCAAAAAGCCTAATATGAGAGGCAAACAAGTGGCAAGACACCTAAAAGGGGCCAGTAGATGGGGCACTAAGTTCTGAAAATCAGGGCAGTTTAAGAGGTCTCCAGTCAGGCACCCAAAGTCACTAGTTACTTTTGAAGATATTGGCCTATGAATCACGTTTGCAAAGTAAGGGCTTGTATATATGGTAGGTAATGTGCTATACAGGGGTGTGATTTCTAAAGCACAGTAACATGCTGTGTATTAATTGGTCTGTATAGACCCTGCTAGTGTACATTAAAGATCCCCCCAGTGCACTTTTAAGCGCTCGAAACAGTACTACGTTAAAGTGCACTAGTGCATGCCAGCAGGGTCTACACGAACCCATTAAAGTGCAATAAGTTAGTGTGCTTTAGAAATCACACCCCTGTAGAGTGCATTCCCCCACCATTTAGACAAGCCTTAAGTTTGTTCTTACTTTATATATATATAGTTCCAGTTAATTTGGTTTCAAACCCGGGGCTGGATCCTACAAATACTTACCATTAGGTGGAACACTTTACAGTGGCAAGTACTCTCCCACTTTGAAGTCTTATAAAACACTTTATAAAGGTGGGAGGGATAGCTCAGTGGTTTGAGCATTGGCCTGCCAAACCCAGGGTTGTGAGTTCAATCCTTGAGGGGGCCACTTAGGGATTTGGGGCAAAATCAGTACTTGGTCCTGCTAGTGAAGGCAGGGGGCTAGACTCAATGACCTTTCAAGGTCCCTTCCAGTTCTAGGAGATGGGATATCTTAATTAATTAACACACTGTGCCCAGCAGTAATTTTTTGCAAGATCTGGTTTGCCAGCATAAACTGAACCAATTTATTTTAAAAGTGTTTGCAAAAACTAACATTCTCAACCTCTTTTGAAGATAATTTTGAAATCAGCTTGATCCTGTCTACACTCGCCTGAAAACACATATTTACGTCTGGTTTAGCCAGAACCATATTTAAAGAAAGTTCAAACTTGGTTTCCAAACATGGTACCAAGTTATACACTAATCCTGTATTTCTGGTTATCATGTGGAAACTGGACATGGAAAGTCAAGTACATCTCAAAAACACGATTACCCAACTAGCTTTTTGTTAACATAAAATTTGGATAATCAAAGGAAATTAAATTCTCTGTGTGCAACAACTCACATAATATAATTAAAAAAGGATCATTGTGGTGCTAACTCAATAGAATGTACAAAAATGTTGGCACTTAATTGCAAATCAATAAAGTAGTACCCAATCAGTTCTTTTTATAATTAAAAAAAATTCCCTGCTTCTTTGATACTTGAAATCAATTCAGTAAAAGAACAAAAATCTGACATCTGAATTTTGTCAGAACACTATAATTAAAATACCAATATCCAGGGAAGAAAAAGACTAATGAACGCATTTAACTAAATGAGATAATCAGCTCCCCACATAGACTTACGATTGATTTCCATGGCATAGACTATACAGCAATTTGAAAGCAAAAAAAGGAAAGAAAACAACAGAATAATAGGGGGGGAAAAGAAAACAAATGACTGACAATACAGTAGCTGTTTTGCTGCCAAGAAAAGATAAGCAACTTAAATATCAGAACAGTAGAGACATATGCTTAGAAACAAAGGCTTTGTTAGAGTTACAGTACATTCTGCAATTTCCTTTTCACTTTGTCTTCCCCAAATTCTACATATGGCAGCAAATTCATGACAGTAAAAATAAATCACAAAATGATGCTGGCAGATGATCATTTAAATATACAAGATATTATCAGTAAAACACAATTGATAGTCACCACAAACAAAACAACACAAAGTTACCACACAAACTTAATCTTTCAGCTATTACGGAAACAAACTTCCTCCTGTTTCCTGGAAGCAGAGTCCTGGCATTGACTTTGCTGTCTGCTTCCTTTTCTATTATCATTCTATATTAGAATGATCAATAGCTTATGATACAAATATATTGTTATAGTATCTAATATAATTAACATCTAATTTGATTAGCATTATGGGTACTGGTGTGCCTGTCCTTAGAAAGTCTTAAGCAGGATCACCCTACTTCTGCTTATGAATTTGATCCTGCTAAGTACTAAATGCTTCTGATTTCATGCTCATGTGGCTCTTTTACATTGTAGCAATGGAGTGAATTTCATCCTTAGGGCAAAATCCTGGCTTCATTGAAGTCAATGGCAAAACTCCCTTTGACTACAGTGGTGCCAGGGTTTTATCTTTGATGTACAGTTGTGACAAAGGAAAGTAACAAAGCAATAAGAACAGGAGTACTTGTGGCACCTTAGAGACTAACAAATTTATTAGAGCATAAGCTTTTGTGGGCTACTGCCCACTTCTTCGGATGCATATAGAGTGGAACATATATTGAGGGGATATATATACACACAATTATATGTTCCACTCTATATGC